ATTTGTATGTTGATGTTAAAATGTAAAGAACTAAAAGCACTAACCTATAATCCAACTGACTGTTAAAATTTGGAAGAATTTAAACATATTGATGATGGTTTTGGTCCCGATCAAGAATTTCTCAGTTCGAGTAGGAACGTTATTTTACTTGTTTAATTCACACCAAGAACAAACCTACTGATTGCATCGCTCATAATAACAATATGTTTTAATGTTCCCTTGTACAAAAAAAAGCGATGTCACCATTAATTACAAAGTTCATTTATGCGTAAAATTGAAAAAAAACGTATACTTAAAGGTAGACTATTGTACAAATTGGTTGGTCCAGAACGAGTCGACCTTGAATTCTTCTCAGTCATTGATATTATAATAGTCACTTCGATACGTCTGTCAAGAGTCGTCCTATATTTCAATCATTGGCAGAAAATCTTCTGAAAAGTATACAATTTTGATTTGATGTAAAGGTTTTAAAGGAACAGATGCGCCATTTTGGGGGTTGATTTGAGTCTTGAATATATGTAAATAGTCTAAAAAAGTACTAGAAATGTACGAAAATTGCTTAATTCCTTCAAAAATATCTCAAACTAGGATTTGACTCACTATTTCTATATATGTCGTTTTCTACATATCACAGGGTATCTTAAATGTCATTTTTACATTCAAATATTTGCAGACTGTATTCTCCATGTTAAACGTTTCCATATTATTTTCATGAGTGTCGGGGTGGTGGAGGGGTGTCCCATTCTGGAATCGTATCCGTCATACCACAAATTAAACAACCGCTCGGGTCGGCGAGCAGATACAATGTTTTCAGGAAATTAGAACATTATCAACAATACTTTTTATGTTTCTTACCGACACACCGAATACTTAATTCTTTTGAATGGGAGCATCACTTTAATGTACTGTTTAACTAACTGATTGTATTCGGTTGACCGCCTGATGAACAACAGTCAGTAGGTCAACACAGTGTTATGGTTTTTAAGGGACTATGGATATCGAGGTCCAGTGGTATTTAATTACGACTTTCACAATATTTATATGACACATACTACAGACACCAGCTGACCTTCTGTGGAATTTTTCCCATTGCACACCGAATGGCGAAATCCGTCTACATTGATCCTATGAGGTGTCGAAAAGCAGGTCCCAACACACCTCTTCATTTCATTACCTTTCTAACCTTAACCATGATTCATAGTCAGAGCTATCACATTGATTACAAAGGGTAAGGTCTGGAGTGGGAGATGCCAATTTCTCTCATGTTTTGGTCTTTTCCTACTAATTAGACTGTCTGGCTGTCTGGTGTACAGTCAAAGATGATAAGTTTGGGATCTGGTGTAAAGTAAAAGATGATAAGTTTGGGATCTGGTGGACT